ACGGCATGATACGTCGACATGAAAATGTGGGCGTATAAAAACAAATTGTAGACTATTTATGATTCTTTATATCGTGTGCGTTGAAACCCATTATTGAGTAAGGCGCTGGCTGAGAAAGTTCCCTGGGATTTTGCAGTTTGGTTTATCCTTGTCAGTGGTGCAGAACGGGGTGGGGGTGGGGGGCTGGTAAGAATCCGCACCTGGTCGTTCGTATAGGACTAAAGCCGGAGGTCCCGTGTATTCATTATCATCCAGGACAAAAATATAAACACCACCACTTATATTCATGTCCTACTAATAATCGACAAGAGCATTTCTTTTGTCAATAGCGTGTTAAGAGCCATTCCACGAGAAAACCATGCAATATCATGCAGATGTTCGAAGGTGGGGGTCGGCCATTTTAGTTCATATTCATAGGGTTTGGTAGACCCATCGAGCCTACTCCCTAGCCAAAATCGCCGATTTCAGAAATCAACCGTTTCCGAGATACTGGCCGATTACGTTTTTCGGCTGATTTTTGCCATTTTTAGGCGAAATTTTAGCTATTTTTGTCGCACTACTACCGCTGTTACATGACCATGGAGAACTAGGTTTTGGTTGTTCGTGATAGTCGGGGTCTTACCCGATCACATTATCATGGTAACCCGGTTCAAATTCATTTTCCATAGGTGTCAGGAGATTACACAAAATACGTGTCTAGAGATACCTGAAATGTACCTTATCTTCAGATCGCGATAACTCCACAGGAGCAGGGTTTGCGATAAAAATTAAAATCAATTTATTTGCAGCTTGACCAATTCTAACAACATAAGAAATAAAATCTTTGTCAGCTAACATGCAACAGTATGAAAATTCATGTCGAAAGTTACCAAGTTACAGTTTTTATGGGGATACATCGGCGGATTATTCAGGTACCCAATCGCCTATATTGTTATTCCTGTTATTCAAAGGGTCAATATATCAACTCCAGCTCCCCTTCAACCCGCTTTGCCAAAATATTCAGTCTCGGTGTGGTTTGGTATCCAGTCTACAAATCCAAGATGGCGTCTCACAGTGAATTTGGATTTTCGCAAATTCTCGATCTAAAATGTCGATCGTGATTATTTAAATATTTTTTTTTCTATTAAAAAATGAGAAATTTCAATTCAAATGATGAAAGTCGACAATTAAGCAAAACAGACCCAATTTCCATGAAAATCGCCTATTTGACCTTGACCGTGACCTTCACTCGCGAGGTCATCAGGGATACATGCAATTAGAAGTTCACACGTTGCTCTATCAACAAACCATATCTCATTCGAAAATATCGAAAAACAAATGAGTTAAGAGTTAGGATTTCAAAAAATTCCTTGTCGGACATTTTACCGAAAGTAAAGGGGCATAACCCTGACCGTTATTTTAGCAGACGGATTCATACCACAATTAAAAATCACGTGTCAACAAAATATTCAAATCCCGTATACGTAATAACAATATGTGCACCTCGATATTTTTGATATTTAATTCTCCCGTCTTCATTAGCCCAGTTGAAGCAGAATAGTAGGACGTCAAACCCCATTTCATTCCATTCATTCTATCTAATTCCCGTATGGTATTCAAATTTATTAATTGACACGTATACTATTACTGTCTCCCTGATAATGTCTACTACATCGTTAACACAGTTCATCGCGTGCATTTTGCATACCGATAGTTCATTGGCCAATCACGCTATTTTACCGACATTTCGCCTAATAGTTTGGATGCAGCTATGGCGGGTGTGGCGCCAGGCAGGGTAAGCTTACTCTTCCGGACACCTGTTACCACTGTTTGTCGTGTATTTTGTACACGAGGAGCAGTCCATTTGCTGATTACACTATTTTGCTTGAGAACACTATTTTGCCTATAACGTTTTTTAGGACTTCGAATTCTGTCTTATGGTTTCGATTGTTCGTACTTGGTTTTATTTTATTTATATTCGTACAAAATTACGTGTTTTCGTAATACATTGATTGAATGAAAGCTTGCCGATCCTGCTTCGGCTTCAAATTCACAGCAGTAATATTCTTTCAAAATAACGTGTCTTCGTTTATACGACAGCAAATGAATGAAGAACTTCCGAAATAAGAATAGTTTGTGATGTCAAAACATCGTTTTTTTCTTTATAAAATGTCGACAAAATATTCAGATCCGCACGTAATAAAAATAGAAACACGTCACTATTTTTGTACGCCTACATTTTCGTGTGGGCGTATATTGTCGTCGCCCCAGTCCGTCCATCCTTCCACATTTTCGTGTGGACGTATATTGTCGTCGCCCCTGTCCGCCCGTCCGTCCACAATTTGTTTATGGACACCCTATAATACAGGTAACAATTTTTATCCACTTTCAACAAAACTTGAAATATAGGTTTATGTCCGTAAGATCTCGCTTACTTTCGATATTGGCATGTATCGGACCGTAACTTCGTAGACTATGACCCCCGATTTTACGAAAAATTATGTTTTTAGCTTGTGGGCTCTGGAGTTCACAATTTTTATCCGATTTTGATGAAACTTAAAAGGTGTGTTTATAACCCGTAGATCTCAGTTCCTTTCGATATTCCCGCATATCGGACGTTAACGTCCTGGATTATGGCCCATATAATAGTGTAAAAGTATGTAATTCCAGGGTTGTGGACACGCTCGAGGTTACAATTTTTGTATGATTTTGATGAGATTTGAATACATGTTTAGATCCCAAAGATCTCGGTCCCTGTCGATATTCGCGCATATCTCACCGTAACTTCGTGGAATATGGCCCCCGATTTTTGAAGTTCTTCTAGATGTCATAATTTTTATCCGATTATAAAAATCGTTTCAATATATCACCGTTACGCCTTAATGACGACTAAGTTCGAATTTCATGAAAATCGGACCGAAACTGCTGGACAAAATGGCTGCTCCTCATACGCAAATAGTGTAAAAATATGTAACTCCAAGAGAGTGGACACTCTAGAGAACATAATTTTTTATCCGAATTTGATAAAACTTAAAATGTATGTTTATATTGCAAAGATCTCGGTTCCGTTCGATATTCGCTCATATCACACCGTAACTTCCTGAGTTATGACCCCTGAATATACAAAAAATCACGGTTTTTTTTAGCTTGTAGTCCCTCTTGATGTCACAATTTTTATTCAACTTGATAAAACTTTTATATATACTTTTATATCCCAAAAATCTTGGTTCCTTTTGATATTGTCGCATGTCGGACTGTAACATACTGGCTGATGGCCCCTGATTGTACGAAAAATTGCTTTTTATTTTGCTTGTTCTCTGTCCATCTCTTCAAAAATGTGGGCGTATCTTGCATGGCAATCGCTTATTCATTATTTAATTCCCGTACGGTATTCAAATTTATGTCAGTAATATTCCTACAAAATTACGTGCTTTCGTAATACGATAGAATGAAATTTGCCGATCCGTGCCTGCTTCAATCAAATTCACGGCAGTAATATTCCTCCAAAATTACGAGTCTTTGTTTATACGGCAGCAAATGAAAGAAAGACGTCCGAAATGAGAATTACTTGTGGTGATGTCAAATCATTTTCGTAAAATGGTATTTTAAAATTACATTGATAGTTAAATCGCTTCTAAAAGACATACAGAACTTTAGCATATGGCGAACGACACCGTTAACATATAACACATACAGTAGTTTCGTAGTAAGCACTGCCTTATATGGTAAGCGATTTTCGTGCGATAATCGAGATCGCGGGAAAGTGCCACTGTAGATGGGAATTTATATATGGTGTCTTAAAAGAAGTAGTTTCATTACGGAAAATATGTTAAAGGTTTAATAGGATGTTATATACTATCAGGATAATATGTGACATCAAGGACTAGTTTCTACGTGCTGTCGGTTGATATTAATGAGATTAAATTGTCCGGCAATGGAGAAACAACCGAGGTAATCACGTAGATAAGGTTGATACTCACTCTTATTGGATTGATAAATAGTCCTACAAAAGAGAAGCAATGACCTCTGTTCAAGACTAGATTGATGAAATAGCGTAGGACATGTCCGGAAATTCGACGCAAAAAGTGACAATTTCGCAACTTTCGACACAAATTTTCATACTGTTGAAGGTTAGTTGACAACGATTTTATTTTTTATGTTGTTAGAACAGGTCAAGCTGCAAATAAAACGATTTCCACTTTTATCGTAAACCCTGCTCCAGTGGAGTTATCGGTGTCTGCAGACACGTATTTTGTGTAGTGTCATGACACCTACGGAAAGAGAGGTTGCACAGGGTGACCATTATAATATGGTAAGGTGAGACCCGGACTATAATCACCAACCAAAACTTAGTTCGCCATTGGTCGATTAACGGCTATAGCAATGCTACAAAAATGGTCGAAATTTGACGGGAAAATGGCGAAAATTAGCCGAAAAACGTAATCGGGCTGTATCTCAGAAACGGTTGATTTCTAAAATCGGCGATTTTGGTTGTGGAGTACGCTCGATGGGTCGACCAAACCCTGTAAATATGAACTCAATCGGCCGACCCCCACCTTCGAACCTTCTGCATGGTTTTCTCGTGTAATGGCTCTTAAGTATTGCGAAAAGTTAGCGACAGGTGTGTTTTGTTAATAGCGCCCAAAATATTGCGAAAACTTTTCAACAAGAAAATTTATGTTAATGATAAGTATATTCTACTTAAATTGTTTCATATAAAAATTGATAAAATTATGGATAATTGAAATCTTGCAAAAAATGGTCTTACTAATCCCCGTCAATTTCACTTATCCATAATTTTGTCCATAATCATTTTTTTTTTTTGGGATATGATGTGTAGAGTATACATATCTATAACATTATCTTTCCTTGCAGGTCTCACTTTTATTTCGCAATACTTGTGGGACATTGACCTAAGCCGTTGTCGGTTCTTGTCGGTGATTATATTTAGTAGGACTCAAAACCAATAATCCATACAAAATGAAAACATTGACAAGTTTATTTCATACAAGTAAACTGTTTTATTTTCTTGTTTTAAGATAACTTGCTAATGCTGGACTTGTTTCCACAACTTTTCGGTTGTTTACAATAAGTGGAAACGTTGAGAGAATATCTGGCTTAAACTGTAATAAGTTATCTGTTAAATCAAATACAGCCAGGTCAGCAAGGGTTAACTGAAAAACAGTTTAATGTGGCATTATAGCTTTCAGATTTAAACCGTCTCGTACAAATGTTTTAGTAAATTTTCCGTAGTTTAACAAATGCTCCGACAACATATTTTACCATAAGTAAGTCATTAGGCGAGCCTAGGGTTATTTTGTAAGTTAATTACATTTATTTTCTTGGTAAAAGTGATAGCACCTCTTTAATATAACCTTCAATTTGTTATCTATGTGAACTTATGTATTAACCTTGAAAATATCATTGGTGTGAGTGTTCTCTAGACACGACTCTACCTCGTTTACGACATTCCTTGCTATTAAACATGCATTTTGTAAGATTTAGATAAAGAGTTGAACATTCATGCTATAACAGTTCAAAAATAGACAATGAAAAATAATATATTGAAAATTTAATAATAATCTGAGAAATCTTAACAGTGTTTGAAGATGTGGCATTGATTGTGCATTATCGTAGCAGCGGTACTTGACAATGGGGACTAAGTCTAGATTATCCATTTTTAAATTTAATGGCGATGGGGTTTCAATCCATTTACGTCTCGGCCATCCGATGGTCTTGAGAATTGATTATAGGCTTGCCATGTGAATAAATATCTAAATATTTAGCTCTTAAACCATCTTTAATAGGTTCTGTTTTGTTACCATTCCACGTTTAAAAAAGAATGCAATTTTCAGTTTTATGATCAAAAAAACCGTAAACAATTGTCCCGAATTTATACTCTGACACCAAATTCTGATTACTAACAATGCCCTTTAGGTCACCACCACCCACGTCTATTTTGAACACTTACTGAATTTCCAACGAAGTAAGCACCACCATTTTGTAAAGCCACGTGTTCTAGCTGGGCGAGATATTTTGGTGCATCATCGTTCAGTAATTTTTCCAACAGGGTTTTCTGAAACAGCAAAATTAAATACATAAACTGTATCTCAGTTGAATTTATTCTCCTTTGGATTGTACTATAATTTAGATATGGCAGTCTCTAAGGTGATTAAAACCAAAATCATAATCACATATTGTTGATTTACGATTTACTGTGTGACCAATACATAATTTAGGCTACATTTTGTTTTATCGTAAATACTCAAAATGCATTCGAGTGTACTTACTTACAGAACTGGAAACTATACTGTCTTATTGGTTAATCAAAGAGATTCAATAATATATAAACCAATCTCGAATGGTCGTACACCGTACACATATTACAAATAGACGTTACCTTTTTTTCTTCGTCTTTTTCCTCGACAAAAACACTGACAATAAATGGCATCAGGTCATTTATAATATTCATTACTATATCAACTTTAAAAATCTCCATGTTATTTTTCCCGTATAACCCTGAAATAAAAATAAATTTTTCAATTAACCAACAAAACCATAACCATTATATTGGATACATTGCCGATCTATTCACGAAAAGCCGTTTATGTTAACATTTATTCGTAAGTGAAGTATGAAACGGAACGAATTATAGATATACGTTTAATCATACTGAACTCCAGTACGAGAACATCATATCAGATCAATATACACATACTGCCAGTTTGGATCTTTATGCCGATCAACCTGCCTTCATGCTTACTTACAGAGAATGGTCTATACTACTTTGGTTAAACTTTAAACTATATTTCCTATTTTATATCGTTCACCCAATCAGTTGTACCGTGGCCATACGTTGAATTTTACATTTTTCTTGAAATTTACCTCGTATATGAGAAATCGCAGTGAAAACTAAGATAAATCAAAAAAACATAAAAAAAACTTTTCTCCGTGGTGTAAAACTTTTCTTGGCGGTGGAGAAAATGTTTACACCGCAGAGAAAAGATTTTTCATGTTTTTTTAAAAATTTATCATAGTTTTCACTGCGATTTCTCATAATATGAGGTAAATGTATAAATGAACTTATGGCACTAAAAGGCCACCATACATTTGTGGTAGTTTGTAATCTAGACTTTATTTTAACAGGAAACAAGGCAAAACAGAAAAGCCAAACTCACCGAATTCTCTTGCTAAATAAGAGTAAATTGCGCCAGACTGTGGATAAAGGGTACCGTCTACTTCAAGACATGGTAACTGGCCTAAAGGCGTTGCTGAAAAAAATACATAATGATGTCCAAAAATAGTTTAAGTAGAAGAAATACAATTTTTATCAAGAGGCGAAACAGACGAAATTAAGAAATGATAAAGGAATTCCTCAATTGGTTTATATGGGTTAGAGTACATGTAAGCCATTTATACAGTTATAAAACACAGGTGGACAAATTCTGAAATCGCTGCGTCTTGGCAATTTCAATTTTCTAATCTGACCCTCGAGCAAGACAGTCCACACAAACCCTACAGTTTAGCAAAATAGCTAAGAAACACTCCCACACACCCTCTAAATAAGAAGCCGGCAACTGTATCGACAAGGAAATTGAAATCGCCTTTATATGCCGATTAACCATTCAATAATTAGTGAATTTAGAATAATTGAATGATATATTTAACGAAGTCTTACATAAATTCATACTTTTACAAATAAAATCAGCTTTGACGGTTACTAAAAGAACAGCTGTTTTTACGTTATGACTGTTCAACCATTGAGTCAGACATGTGCAACATGACGGCGATGTACATTCCCTAGCCCAAATAAGATTTTATACTTACACGGTTTAAATAAGGGCCAGGTTTCCTTAGTGTATCTAACATCCTCAAACTTTTGTCCAGCAGCGTTGAAGAGAAGTCGGATAATTTCACCGCGACCTCGTACGTCAAAATAATGCAGACGATAGTTGGGCATTTTGTATCTTACATGACCATAACTATGTATGTACTAAATAATATAGGCTCTATTTTCCTTTCATGCACGAATTTGTTATCATAGATGTCTTTATATATCTAAACCATGGATGGAATGTGGTAACCTGGATACCTTGATATGTCGTATTGTATCAACCTTAAACAAAGATAAAAAAAATAGTGGCGGAAATGAGAATGAGAAAGGGTTAGATCGCGGAATCGAGGAATAATGATGATTTCTATTATGATCCAGTTTCTATTTTCTTCTTACCTTCGCACCTCTCTCTGTACGTCAACCATGTCAGTGAGCAAGGCGCTGGTTCGCTCCCGGTGCAGATCGAGACAGCGATATTCCGGCGTGGTTTCCCTTAGTGAGTGATGCAAAACGGGGCGCTGCGTTGTTCACGTTCGCGTGCACCCCCCCCCCTCCCCTTTAACATTGGAATTGGAAATAAAAGTATGTTTTCATAAACGTTGAACTTTACTTCATGTCGCATTAATAGTTGAAACTTTACAGATTGCACTCTCGCTTATACTCTCTTTCCAGGACTTCAATTGTAATTGTACTTTGGACGTGAAATGTCTTCTTCTTAAAACCATACCCAAACTATCGTTCAGCTACACGTGTCACGGTATGCTTACTATCTGGAACACCTGAGATCAGATGGTGATCAGATATCATTTTGATGAGTTCACAACCCTGACATAGGCTACATTGGGTTGCTAACTCCAGGTTTAAAAGGCCAGTCAGAAGGGCAATAAATTGTAATTCTAAAGTCTTAACATTCTTGATGGTCCACAATTATATTAACAAAGTTCAATATTTACTAAAACACTGTCAGTACTGTTACATTAGGCATACTTATATTATATGACACTGATCAGCAGTGAATATTCGCTAGGCTGCTACAATCACTGATAAGGATGACATCAATGCGATTTAATGAGTCTCAAATATTAACTTTTTTCCACCGAAAAATTAAATTCTAAAACATTTTTTGGATGTATTAGAAAAATAATTAAAGACGTTTGACGTATTTGTAGGTAAAAATTATTTCCTATTGACTAAAAGGCGGCATTCTGTCCGAAGCAGTAACGTCTTATGTAAAAAATGCACGCGCCATTTAGTCAATGATTGACGCCGCGTACTGTGACGGCATGTGTTAAAGGCAGTCATCTTTTACAGAGATATTAGAAGACTCGTAATTCTCTGAGAAACAGATTGATATTATATATTTAGGATGAAACCAAAACACACTAACCAAAATCGATTGTAAAACTTTAATATTGGGTACAAATAGATTTAATAAAATTATAAAAACAATCAGTTGTCTTGACTTAAAAAATTTTCAAAATACATTGTTTATCATGATAATGTTTTCCGACTTGCCATAATACAAATATCAATGTATTGGACAAATGATTGTCGGACTAGCGGTGCTGGGCCCTGGGGCCTGTTTCACGAAATGTTAACTAAGATAAAATCCAAATTTTAGTAATTTGGTTGGATAATATTAGACTGATTGTAGTGCTTAGCCAATCAAAATTGTAGCATCTACTAAAATTTGGATTTTATCTTTAATTAAGATTTCGAGAAACAGGGCCCAGTTTTAATAGATTTTAGTTTAAATTGCTTGTGTTCGCGCAGTGCACATTTCCGATGCCGGCACTTACGGTGTACGCAAATACGCTTCGAAACTGAAAACTGTTGACAGGTTGAACTGATGGGTACAATACCAATGGGCAGAGTTTCATACGTTGTAGCAATGTTTGCACATGGTCAGGCAGTCGTAGTGTATTATTCGTTTCGAAATGTATCGGTGGGTTGGCCTTGAACTTGGCATTTACTTCGTGACTTCGGCATTTGATTTAATCGCAGGCTTCAATGTAAATAATGTGTGTATCGATAAACTATATTAAACATACATTATGTAATCGCTAAATCTGCCTATTGCAGGTCTTTCTTTAGGCCTGAAATGTGATCTCAATTATTAATTAGACGTTAATTAACTTATCCAGACCATAATCAACTCTCGATGGCATCGCTAGACTGCGATGTTTATTGGATTAGGTTCCGATTTGCTGTTCGACTTCCATTCATAATTAAATCATGAAATGGATAATCGAGACTATGTTTTTTATCCTACCGACTTTAGTAATGATGATCGAGGGTAGGCCGAAAATTCAATCGCTAAAATCTTGGTTCATAGTGGATCAATTTGACTGTAATTTTCAGCAAATTCCCTTTACAGTATCTATTTTTAACTATTATAGTGAGAACTGCCAGCTCTTTATCTAATCTCCCATAATGTATCTTTAAATCGCTTGAAAAATGAAATGAAATGAAATGGAGTTTAACGTCCTACTGTTCTGCTCCTAACCTGGGCTAATGAAGACGGGCATACGCCATACAGTGTGCTATGAGGGAAATTTTGCCCGGACAGCGGCACTACGGCCTACTCTTATATCGAATTCCAACTGCCAAGGGATCTTTTACGTGCATTCCAATGTATACACGGGACCTCGGTTTTTCGTCTCATCCGAAGGACTAGACAGCTATCCTTGTCAGGCCCTCCGTCCTGCATCACTGACAAGGGGGAACCACGCCGGAAAATCTGGATGAACTTTCTCGGCCAATGCAGGGATCGAATAAATCGCTTGAATTTCGTAGTTTTATGGTATTTTGAATAACAGAAACAATTGGGAATTGTCACAAACATATGAAATATGATATTTGTAACTCAAACGACCAAATGTTGTCGAATTTTAAAAGTATTTAACAACTTTGAAAGTAATCGACCAATTATAGCCAATGTTCCGATGCCTATATTTAAAATGTCATCCCATACTGTTTTAAAAATACTTTGAAGTGCCACACTCCTTATTGGATAATACCCATTCAATCTTACACAATTAAAATGATTTTTTCCCAAAATAAAATGTCTTTGGCTCCTAAAACTTCTCTAATTTGTGCTGTCTTATTAACGAAAGCCTTCATTAAGAAATAAAAATAAATTTATGATATTAAAATCTAATTTCAAAAAGACGTATAACATTTTTCAATAAATACATTTGAGATTATTAATTTATCATTTTATACAAATCAACATAACCCCAAAAACGTTCATTTGGCATGACTAGTATTATAGGCCTGTAGGCCTTCTAATACCAAGAAATTGTCAATTTTTTTTATAGATAAGAGCGCTCTTCTTTCAATGTCATTAGATATGAAGTGAGTTCAGATTTTGTTTTAGGCTTTTTTGGTGTCTATTAATTATTTGAAAATAGTATAATTTATACTTGAATCATATGGTAATATATAAAATAGTAACAAAGAGTTTTGTTTACTGGGGTTTTGAGGGTTTTTTTGTTCTTGGGGTTTTAATTTAGGGCGTCATCTAATTGCTTATATTACCTTACACTAAAATAAACGGTTGGGCCGCAGCTATATATTTCCCATGCAATGAAAAGAAAATGAATGAAAATTATTTTTGTAAATGATAGTATGTTTAAATTATATGACCCGGGTCATTGGCAATATTATCATTATTCCAAATATATCTATATGTAACAATAGATCTAACAACGTAGCTCTAATCAATGTTTGTTAAAGTCGTGATTTTAAGTTAGGAGAGGGTGACGGATGTCCTAAGTTAAAATTGATTTTAGTTAAAATTGTCCCTAAAATAGTTTTGTGAAACGCCACTATTTTAAGGTAAGATACAATTTTAACTTACAATATTATTTTAGTAGGTTTTATACGAATGCCCAGAAGGCTCATTCCAAATTCCAAATGCGAAATTCCAAATTCATGTCTTACTGATGAAATAGCAAATTGGTAGCCCCCCCCCCCCCACACACACACACACTCAATTAAACAAATTAGAATTTATATGAATTGTCATTTTACACAACTAATTACTTCTAGTTTACCTATCTGGGCCGGATAAATACCCGTTCCAAATTACTGGATTCCAAATTCCAAATTCCAAATTCCAGATTCCAAATTCTAAATTCCAGATTCCAAATTTCAGATTCCAAATTTCAGATTCCAAATTCCAAATTCCAAATGCTTAATTCCAAATTCCAAATCTGATCCGACTTATCGGATCAGGTTTTTGCTTTTGACTAATCAGTTAGAGTATAATATTCCAGTTCGGGTTTGCTTCGGCAGATGTGAAAAGTTTGGAAATGAAATGAAATGGGGTTTAACGTCCTACTGTTCTGCTCCTATACTGGGCTAATGAAGACGGACATACGCCATACAGTGTGCTATGAGGGAAATTTTGCCCGGGCAGCGGCACTATCGCCTTCTTTTATATCGAATTCCATCTGCCAAGGGATCTTTTACGTGCATTCCAATGTATACACGGGATCTCGGGTTTTCGTCTCATCCGAAGGACTAGACAGCTGTCCTTGTCAGGCCCTCCGTCCTGCATCACTGACAAGGGGGAACCACGCCGGAAAATCTGGATCGAACACCCGACCTCCAGACTAGCGTCCTACCCACTTAGCCACGTGATCCCCTGAAAAGTTTGGGGCATAGTTCCTCTGCAGTGAGCTACTCTGCTACTCGGTATCCTAGGATTGACATTTTTTTTTTTTGCTCCAGCAGCAAATTTGGAATTTGTAATTTGGAATCTGGAATTTGTAATTTGGAATGAGCCTTCTGGGCTTTCGTAGTTTTATCTAAAATGCTTAAAATAGTTTTGTGAAACGCATGCATCTTAAGTATGGATGGAATTTTAGTTTAAGACGATTTTTAAGGAGATTTAAGTTTTTGTGAAACAGGGCCCTGGTCCTTTGTAAAAATAGGCCATTGATACGAATAATGTATTATACGCTGACATAATTATAACACCACTCAATATGTAAACAACAATATAAATAAACTATATATATATATATATATATATATATATATATATATATATATATATATATATATATATATAATAAAAGGTTATAGTTAAAGCTACTCTTAGGTGTTAGATATTCGAAATAAAGATGTTGTAGGAAAAAAAACTAGGTTTTTGCGAGTACTTTTCGCTTTATTAAGCTTCTTCAGGCAAATTTTACCAATTCCAACAATTGATGTGACGTAATAACGTCATGGTTACAACAATGAACTATAATGGCTATAATAAGCACGATAAGATAATATTGCATACATTATGTATCATTAACAAAATTATTAATTAAACATTTATATTTTACACAAAAATCAACACCTTGAATTAAGCAATGGTTTGAATTTTTCAATAAAATATGATTCCTTTGCTTCTAACAGATCGTTGTTTTTGCTGTTTAATTGATATAACGGAAAGACATTAAAATTGCATTTGCCACAAACATCGAGGTGTCGGCTCAGGGGTATCATCCTGTATAGCGGATTAAGAATATGTTGTCGATGGAGGTTCATTCTTAATCTAAGCATATTTATGGTCTTTCCGATATATCTACCCTTACAGCCCGGACAAATTATTACATATATAATGTAATCGGATTTACAAGACATTGGTTGTTTTACATGAAATGTAAAATTGTCCGTGATATTTATGGATGAACCTTCAATTATGATTGAACACGTTTTACATTTGGATTCATTATACTTATTAACTGTTGGTATGATTTTAGTTGATTCGAATTTTGATGAGATTAGTAATTTAGCCAGGCTTTGAGGTTGCTTTAAACTATTTATTATTTTTGCCTTATTTAATATATCATCCATAATCGGGCTATTTTTAAGAATATGGAGATTATTATTAATTATAGATTTACCATCTTCTTGTGATGGGTTGAAAGTAGTTACTAAAGCAACTTCTTCGTGACTCTTTGTTTCACAAATCGTTTTTGGACACCTTAATTTGCTCTGATCTAAACTTAAAGCTTTTCGGATGGCATCATCTACTAGCTTTGCCGGGTAGTGTTGCTTTTTTTAGAAAACCTTTAAGCCCATTAAGGCGTATTTGTTTGATATCCGATTGTGAAACTATGGTGCACACGCGTCTAGCTAAATTATACGGAATATTACGTTTGATATGAGAAGGATGGCATGAATTAAAATTGAGATACTGATGTGTGTCTGTCGGTTTATAATACATATCAGTTTCAATTTGACCATTCGGTAAAATGTTCACCGTGACATCGAGAAAGTTTAGTTTTACTTTACTAGATTCAACAGTGAATTTAATATCGACATCTAGGCTATTCAAGAGATCGTGGAGTTTGGTGATCGCTGTATCTTCTATATTAAGGACGCACCAACAATCATCCAGAAATCGTTTCCACGATTGCTTAATCATGTCGCTAAAAGTTTTATCGAAGGTTGTGGGTATTTTCTCATACCAAATTTCTTCGAGGTAACCTAATGTTAATGTTGCGTATGTCGGACCAACTTTTGTACCCATAGCAACTCCTTTAATTTGTGAGAAATAATGGGTATCGAAGAAAAATATGTTATTTGAAATTACTAAATTTAGAGCGCCAATTATAAATCGTTTAGAAAAACGATCTGGGATACTATCGGGGTATGTATCTATCCAATATTCGATAGCTTTTATTCCCAGATCTTTACTGATGTTATTATATAGATTTACTACATCAAAGCTTATTAATGTACTACAAGGTTCTACCTGCTTAGGTAAATGATGAAGGAAATCTATATCATCGCGGAGAAAGCTTTTGACTTTAGAACATAGTGGTTTCAGAATGATATCAATGAAGTTGCTAAGTCTTTGGGTACTACTATTTGGTCCGCCTACTATTGGCCGAAACGTTAGGTCACCTGGACATTTTATATTTACAACTTCATGATTAGTTCGTCTTACAGCATCTTGAATTAGCCTACTTTTGTGTACTTTCGGCAATCCATAAAAGTATGCAATGCTTGGATCGAAGTTCATAAGATATTCTTGTTCCTCCTTTAACAGCATTCCGGTGTAGCAAGACACAAATGTTCTCATATTTACTATGACGTTGTTGTTTTCTTTGATGGTTGATGGCGCATAATATTCCGTGTTTTGGAGCATTTTGAATATATTTTCTTGATAGAATGACTTATCCATAACGACTATAGCTCCTCCTTTATCTGCTTGTTTGATAATTATGTTTTGATTATTTCTCAGATTATTGAGAGCTTTCAATTCACCTTTATTTAGATTTTTAATGGTAGGTTTTGATTGAATTTTATGAGTGGCTATAGTTGTTATAAATTTATCTAACTGTACATCTTTTCCTGATTTTGGTGTAAAAGTAGATTTGTTTCGAGCCAGGCTTTCGGGTTCTGGGGGTCGAGAATCATCCTCTCTGTAGAAATGATGTCTGAGGCGCAGTTTTCTACAAAATTGTGTTAGTTCAGACTGGAGTAAGCAGCTATCATTTGAAGGTGTTGGGGTGAATTTTAGTCCCTTATCAAATAATTTAAAAATTAAATGAGCTTACCTGTAAGTGAAATTTGATTGTAATTCTGTTTTACTATTTATTTAACGGAGGGATCACATGAGAGTGCTTTGCGCATGCTCTGGTCATACTTCAAAGGAGGATGAATAATGGAAATTTCCAAGTCCTGGGTGGGCAACAAGATATCTCAAAACACAAACCCAAAATTCAGGGTGGGCATGTGATCCCTCCGTTCCATAAATAGTAAAACAGAATTACAATCAAATTTCACTCACAGGTAAGCTCATTTAATTTTTAAATTCTGTTTATACTATTTACGTCACTTGGAATCACATGAGATTTCAAAGACAGTAGTCATCCGATGCAAAAACATATATAAGTAAGAAAAGATCACTAATTCAATTTTCCAACTTTTATTACTAGCACTTACATATTTAAACTACTAGAAAAAATATCATCAACTCAGTGTTTATGATTCTCATTACAGTCATGTTATCAACCTTTAGCATAATCCTGTTGTTTTATAATATTTCCTTAAACCTTTTGGAACATGTTTAAAGTCCATTTGACTTGTACATGAAGAGTTAATCTAAAATGTTTTCAATCTATGAAGTTTGTCACCTTCACAATAGTTATACTAGTAACAGTTTGCCATAGTTTACCACTTGAACTATCACAAATAAAACACTGCCCTATTTTGAGCTGTCCAATATAAGATTAGAATACACACTGTTATCCTCAATGAATAGGTTTGTTGTAAAACCTAGCAAAAGTTTTACTGTTACTCCATCCAGCAGTCTCCAAAATTGTGGCCAATGGAACTCTTTTCCGATGAGCAGCTGAGGTAGATGCACCACGAACACTATGTGGTGTAAATAAACACATGTCAATGCCTGAATTAAAAAGTACCACTTTGACCCATCTAGCGATGGTTGAACGTGTCACCGATGAATAAGGCTTCGTGTAACTAATGAACAATTGAGTCCCAGATGATCTCAGTGTTTCAGTTCTCTTAATATATTCCTGAAAGGTAGTCACAATGCATAATCGTTTATCTGTGTATGATTCAAAACACAGTTCCTTCTGATGAAAGTTTGGTCTACTAGTTTTAAGTAGATCTCCAAAACGTATTTTTAACCTATCAAACAATATTTCAATATTACGCACATCAATGTAAAATAAAGATTGCATACGCTGACCACTAACAATCGCTAATAGCGATACACATTTCAATGTCAAATCTTTAAGAGTTAAGTCACAAAGCGGATACAAATTCTTCAAATAACTTAATACTCTGTCCACATCCCAAGTCACATTAGTTCTAGGAAGGGATGGTCGAAGATTAAAACATCCTCTAAGAAACCGCACAATACATGGATTACATCCCAACGGTTGGTTGTCAAATGTGATGAAACTGGATAATGTTGATCGAGCAGAGTTCAAGGCACTATAAGAATATCCTGAATCGAATAATTGATATAGAAATTCTAACACATTTCCCACAGAGGGTGAAAATGAATTGACACTCCTTTGATTTGTAAAAGTGAACCACTTCTTGAGGTATACATCATATTGTTTAATAGTTTGTGGTCGCCATGAGTGCAACAAGACGTTGTTAACCTCATCCGAAAATTCTCGCTTTCGTGTTGCTTGCCTGAAATCAAACATGCCAGCAGTCTGAGTTTGGGTAGATGAACCATAAAACTTTTGGTTGGATGAGTCAAAGTTGTTCTTTCTCTAAAAATTAAAAAAAGGACAGTCAATTAGCATATGCATTAAGGATGTAAACCAGGATTGAGTAGTCCAAAAAAGAACTATAATTAACATGTTTACTTTATCCAACTGAACCTTTTGCAAGACTCTACCTATCAAAACAAAGGGAGGAAAGGCATAATTGAGGTTATGATGCCATTTAATGTGAAAAGCATCGACAGAAATAGCCGATGGATCAGGATTCCAGGAAACATAAACAGGGGTTTGATTATTCAGTCTGGAAGCAAATAAATCAATATCTGGTATACCCCACATATCTGAAAGTTGTAGAAATATATTGCTATTTAGTTTCCATTCTACATTATCATGGTTAAGTCGACTTAGTCGATCTGCCTGAACATTTTCTTTACCAGGTAAGAAAGCAGCAGACAACCAAATATTTCGTTTCAAACACCACATTCATATGCGCCTTGCAACTGCATTACAAGATATAGATGTGCCTCCCATGTTGTTAATATAAGCCACAGCTGTAGTATTGTCAACCAAAATGTGCACATGACAATCTGATAAATCTGATGAAAAAGACTGAATAGTATAGAGTGCAGCTAGTAACTCCAATGTATTTATATGGAGCTCATGTTCAATACTGCTCCATATACCCGATGTACAAGCTGTGTCAAATGTGCCCCCCCACCCTTTTTTACTTGCATCCGAAGTATAAGTACGAATGGGGTCTACATGCATGATCGACTTGGTGGCCTGTCCAATATTATGTATCCACCAATTTAAATCTTGTTTACATAAATCAGAGATAACCATTGTGAAATCGAAATCTCCTTTACAAGTTTTTAGACATTGATTTTTTAAATTATCAAGAAGTCTATAATATAATGGTCCTAAAGCATTACCAGGAAAAGAAGCTACCATCATACCAACAACTTCAGCTACTTGTCGGATACTAGGTTTAGCTAATTGTAATAATTTAGAACAAGCCAATTCAATTTTATTGGCTTTATAACTCGATATAGATACTGTCATAGATACAGAGTTTAAAACAAAACCCAGATAAATGATGGATTGTTTTGGTTGCAAAACAGATTTGTTTGGATGTACTATGAAACCTGCTTTAATCGCATAATCTACAGTATCCAGAATATTTGCATAACAACTTTCATAGGTATCACCCATAAGAAAAGAATCACCAATGTATGAACAATTATGATGACCTTTTAGTCGTAAAGATGCAAATAATGGCTTAGTGATTTTAGTGAAAATTCGTGGAGAAGACGTTAAACCCTGTGGCAAAGCGTTAAATTCGTATAAACGATTTTGCCAGATAAAACGTAAATACTTTCGGTGTAAAGGATTAATATTTATAGAATAATAAGCATCTGTAAAATCAATGCTTGCCATATAACAATTAGGCAACATCAAATTGATTGCATTTTCTAGGGACTCCATTTTAAAATGGTGATAGGTGATCTCTTTATTAAATTGCTTCAATTTTAATATCAATCTGAATGATCCATCCTGTTTAGGTGTAACAAAAATATTAGAAATGAACTCATCAGGTTCATGTAAACAAGCAGATATAATACCTTTATTTTCTAGTTTTTCAACTGCTTGAGAAACATTCTGCTCTTCCTGCAAAGAAAGAACATATGGTTTAGGTATACAATATTGACTAGGGGCTTGATCAAATTCTAAAGAATAACCTTGAATAACTGCCAAAATAAATTCATCTGTAGTTAATGACTTCCGAAATGGAAGTTTCGTAGCCAAATTACCTCCCTTAAATTTTGAGGCTAAATCTTTGAGATAATCTATGTCAATGATATTAAATTTATTAGAAATTTTACTAACCGATTCCTGTGTTAGTTTGGTTTCTTCCGACTTCGTCCCCTCCCTGGATAGAAGTTTTTTGACATCTGACCACTTAAGCCATATCTGTGACTGGTTCCAGTACTAGCAGGATTCTTATAAGAATTCTTATAATTAATCTGTTGACTATTATAAGATCTTTGATAAGGAAAAGGACGTCTAGCATTAAATGGTAATCTTCGTGGTTGAACATTTTGGCCAACACGACTGACTTCACTGATATCCTTGATCGACTTCGGAAGATCATCTCCAAAAAGATTCTGAGTGACTCTGTTAGAGACCGAACAAAGTCTAGACATGATTTTGTTGTTGAGGTTACTTGATTTTAAATTTCACGTCTCTTCATTGAAATTTCAAAATGGGCTGCTGCTAAAAAAGCCAGACTATCACACAACTTCCGAATCATTTTTCCCATTTCCTCAGAATCAAACTGAAGATTAGGTGATTTTCTCATGATATTCAAGTCGTTAACAAGTGTCGTTAAAGGTACCAGTCCCTTAGTTAATCGATCTTGAATTTTCTGAAACTTTATATCAGAAGAACGGTGATTCGGTTGAACTTCTGCCCAAATTTCGGCATTAACCCGAGGCGTAACCATCATCATACAATTCTTGAGGTCTTTTATATTCTTCTCCAGTTTTATTTAATTTAGAATCTGGAATTTTTGGACACAACAGATTATTGATTAAATCTGCTACCTTCTGATTGATATCGGGTCCACAATCCGAATCATCGGCATATAACTGTTGTATATCCTGTAACAAGACATCCGTTGTCCCAGCCTCCGGAGCAGTGTCCATGAGAACGTTATCAATTTGTGTGCAAATATCAACTTCGTCGACAGTGTCCTGATTTTGATCAGAGATTGAAGGCGATACAGGTGGCGACTCCAAATCCTCAATAAGCCCACTTTGACTTTGGTTCCTGGACTTGATAAGTTGAGTAAACAGATTGTTTTGATTTGAAATCATCTCAGTCATTTCCACAAACATATTTTGATAAATATTATCAGTCACATTAGTTTCATTCCGTTTTGAAGACACATGGCCGTCAATGTTTACTATAGAGGCGCTGACGTCGTTCACTAAATCAGAACCTACTTTTGGACCCGGAGCAGACTCTTTTTCTGTCGACGTCCCCGCTATGGGTAAATCATTCGTAGCCGTTTGCAACTTTTTGCAAGATTTCTTGGAACCTTTTCCCACTTGTTTACCATTGCTGGGAGTTTTACCCTTTTTCTCAGGTTTATTAGTGACAACGCGTTGAGTCAAATCGGTCATACTGAATCCATCGAAGCACGTGTTTTCCGTGTCCGACTCGAGCAAAAAATCCGTTTTAGACTTTAGTTTAGTTGAGTATCGTAAATAATATCTTCATGTGGATTTAAAATACACGATAACAACTGTTAATATTCTGATACAGTTTACCAACAAAATTATTTGTCAGTACACGTAAATAGTTCACAAATTGTTGTGAAACTACAAAGTATATAACAGACAATTTAGGCTAATTCAAGATGCTGTAAAACGAACTAATCATGAAGTTGTAAATATAAAATGTCCAGGTGACCTAACGTTCAGGCCAATAGTAGGCGGACCAAATAGTAGTACCCAAAGACTTAGCAACTTCATTGATATCATTCTGAAACCACTATGTTCTAAAGTCAAAACCTTTCTCCGCGATGATATAGATTTCCTTCATCATTTACCTAAGCAGGTAGAACCTGGTAGTACATTAATAAGCTTTGATGTAGTAAATCTATATAATAACTTCAGTAAAGATCTGGGAATAAAAGCTATCGAATATTGGATAGATACATACCCCGATAGTATCCCAGATCGTTTTTCTAAACGATTTATAATTGGCGCTCTAAATTTAGTAATTTCAAATAACATATTTTTCTTCGATACCCATTATTTCTCACAAATTAAAGGAGTTGCTATGGGTACAAAAGTTGGTCCGACATACGCAACATTAACATTAGGTTACCTCGAAGAAATTTGGTATGAGAAAATACCCACAACCTTCGATAAAACTTTTAGCGACATGATTAAGCAATCGTGGAAACGATTTCTGGATGATTGTTGGTGCGTCCTTAATATAGAAGATACAGCGATCACCAAACTCCACGATCTCTTGAATAGCCTAGATGTCGATATTAAATTCACTGTTGAATCTAGTAAAGTAAAACTAAACTTTCTCGATGTCACGGTGAACATTTTACCGAATGGTCAAATTGAAACTGATATGTATTATAAACCGACAGACACACATCAGTATCTCAATTTTAATTCATGCCATCCTTCTCATATCAAACGTAATATTCCGTATAATTTAGCTAGACGCGTGTGCACCATAGTTTCACAATCGGATATCAAACAAATACGCCTTAATGGGCTTAAAGGTTTTCTAAAAAAGCAACACTACCCGGCAAAGCTAGTAGATGATGCCATCCGAAAAGCTTTAAGTTTAGATCAGAGCAAATTAAGGTGTCCAAAAACGATTTGTGAAACAAAGAGTCACGAAGAAGTTGCTTTAGTAACTACTTTCAACCCATCACAAGAAGATGGTAAATCTATAATTAATAATAATCTCCATATTCTTAAAAATAGCCCGATTATGGATGATATATTAAATAAGGCAAAAATAATAAATAGTTTAAAGCAACCTCAAAGCCTGGCTAAATTACTAATCTCATCAAAATTCGAATCAACTAAAATCATACCAACAGTTAATAAGTGTAATGAATCCAAATGTAAAACGTGTTCAATCATAATTGAAGGTTCATCCATAAATATCATGGACAATTTTACATTTCATGTAAAACAACCAATGTCTTGTAAATCCGATTACATTATATATGTAATAATTTGTCCGGGCTGTAAGGGTAGATATATCGGAAAGACCATAAATATGCTTAGATTAAGAATGAACCTCCATCGACAACATATTCTTAATCCGCTATACAGGATGATACCCCTGAGCCGACACCTCGATGTTTGTGGCAAATGCAATTTTAATGTCTTTCCGTTATATCAATTAAACAGCAAAAACAACGATCTGTTAGAAGCAAAGGAATCATATTTTATTGAAAAATTCAAACCATTGCTTAATTCAAGGTGTTGAGTTTTGGGTAAAATATAAATGTTTAATTAATAATTTTGTTAATGATACATAATGTATGCAATATTATCTTATCGTGCTTATTATAGCCATTATAGTTCATTGTTGTAATCATGACGTTATTACGTCACATCAATTGTTGGAATTGGTAAAATTTGCCTGAAGAAGCTTAATAAAGTGGAAAGTACTCGCAAAATCCTAGGTTTTTTTTCCTATAACATCTTTATTTCGAATATATATATATATATATATATATATATATATATATATATATATATATATATTATGGTGACTGATTATTGCTGATTTCATATTTGTTAATTATTTATTTTCTACTTTTCAAGTAAGATTTGAGTGCCGGGAAAGATTCCACTTTTTACGACTGGATTGTATCAGCGGAAATGGTGAGAGAATATCATCTTTCGAATTCAACAAGAGGTCGGTGACATTAAATACAGCGATATCGGCTAGAGTTAACTGAAATTATAAATATAGTTTTAACTTAGATAAAAAAAAAGTTATTAAACTCCCAAAACTGTTCAACTACATTAGTCTCTTGTGATCAGCGCTCTTTTAGTTATCAAGCACCTGTTTTGTGGAATAATCTACAATTTAGTTTAAGATGTTGTACATCTCTAAATTCTTTTAAAAAAAAAACAACTTAAAAAAGCATTTATTTAATCAGGCTTTTAACTGTCCACAATCTTGTTGTTTATTTATGATTACATTGTCACTTTGTAAAGTGCCCCTGAAAATGTTATATGAAAGGGCGCACTATAAATATGACGCAATAATAATAATAATAATAATCAGACGCCAAAGAATGTCATTCAATTTGGAGGCTTCGCGCATTTCGCCGCACATATATAACTGATTAGAAATTACAGTAAAAACAGAAACGATTGAATGTAAATCAGTTTATATATACATTCATGTTACATTATTATATGCGTTGCAACCCATTTTGTGTCCTTATCTAGGTGCCAGAGAATGGCGATTTCGGTCTTTTAATTACGCATGGCAACATGTCATCCTTTTGCCAGAAGGTAACTGACTTCGCGCGTGCCCAGTACTGAGGCAACTCATTTGTCCCACTCTTGCGTTCAGACGACAAATTAACCTGGTTAAACGATCACCTAGGTTTTTAAATCAGTTTAACTTGCGCGTCTAAAGGGGCTGTGTAATTCCAAAAGACTAACCATTACAGCATAAGTCCAAATTGTATAAACGCTTTAACTTTCCCGCCTTTCAGTGCACGTGTTCATGTGTAGTTTCTCGGACAACAACCATTTATCTATATCAGAAGTTTGGAATTACCTTAAGTACGACATTGATTCGAACGAAACATAAATTGGGTAGGTCTATGCCCTTGAACTAAACTCAACAATATGTGTGTTTATGATCTTTTTATCACAAATCATTATACACGTATAACTAAATACAACTCGGATTTTACGCAATTATCGATAGTGTCTATTGGCTGGGGTTATCCGGAGATATATTTTATTTTCTAGTTTTAAGATAACTGGCGAGACCTGGGTTGGATTCCACCTTTTTTCTGTTTTCTTGTATTAATGAGAACGATGAAAGTAGATCTTCTTTTTGTTGAAGTAAAGGATCTGTGATGTCATAAACCGCAATATCTGCTAGAGTCAACTAAAATATAGAACAACATTGTCAAACTTGCCAATTAGTATAAAGTTTTTAAGTTATTGAACGCGATTATTAAAGGCAATGGTGTTCTGGCTGGAAGGTGATTTCCCAATTGACTTTAATGTTAATTCTCGTCTCTTAGACCGGCTCTAACTTTTTTCCCAAATTTTCGTTGGGTAGAACTCTTTCTGCCACAGATGGAGGAACATGTGGCAAACTCTTGCCCAAAAGCATTATGAGGTTCACCATGAAAAACTTGAGATACACAAGCTGGAAGTAGAGACAAGTAAACATGCAATTTTCAGCCCTACATTTCAACCTCTCGACTCTTGTATCCTTTCCAAAATCCTGAATATTCACCAAAACCTGGCAGAAAATGTATTTTCAAACCCTTTTCTTCGATTCTACACCAAAAAGTCAACAAAAATTGCCATGCAAAAGGGGGAAAAGGGAAAGGGAGAGAAAGACCAAAAATAACTTTCGCCCTACATTCAGGTATCACAAAAAGGTCCTTTTTATATGCTTCCCATAATATGTTCTGGCAACATACCGGTGAAAGAAAATCAAAATCAAAGAATAACTACAAAAATGATGGCCCTTTAAGTATACATGCTGCTTTATGTGCAGCGGTGTATCTCAGGTCCATGAGCCTTTTGTGCTAAAATTTAAAAATCGTTCTTATTAAAGATACATTCCCGCGTACAAACTTTGTGATTTGATGATATATTTGGACTAAACACATATTCAAAGTGACCAATCTATCAAAAATTTGCTTCAATTCCCTCTCAAAACTTTGTATTCGCCGGGGATACCTATAGCTATAAGTAAGCTGTTGTTAGACGCGATGTCTGTCAACTTAGCTACATTGTGGGAGGGTCCATTTTTCAGAATGGATTTATCATTACTTACTGTACATTTACCATACATATTGAGGCCTAAGTAAATTCTTAATTATTTTCTGTCATCTTTTTCTGCCGTTTATTTGCAGAGTCTTTTGTACGTTGACACCCCTCAATTTTCCCAAAACCGCCTAACCATTTGATCAATAAATAACAACTGCTCCCTCACTTAAGCTGGCACACAATAAGCTGGCAGATAACAGTCGGGTTGCCAGTTAGTGATACCCTGACAATTGTACATGCAGTATAAGAGATAATCGTGTAGATACATACATATGAGCAGTGCTGGATTAACCATTAAGCATGTGCCCAGAGCATCATGGTAATGAGGGCACTACATAATGTCTGCTTTGTTAGATGCCAAATTTAAAATGTTTAATTTTAAAATTAATTAAAGTCTTTCGGTCAGTTTTTCATTTTGTTTTTCCGTACTGTTATCTGTTTTATCGCAATTAATAATGATGTGTATAAAATCCCAGAAAAACTTTAATCACGTGTTTGGCGGTTGTTTGTGGTTTATATTTTGAATTTCAATATGAGGACACCAAAATGTTTTATGGCATTGTGCTTAGGGCCTCTGTGGGTCTTAATCCGGCCCTGCATATGAGAGATAATCATGCAAATGTATGAGGTCAGATTAAAGACATGAGATAGCATATGATATTGCGGTTTTCGTTTTTAAACGCCCACAGTTTTTATCTGATTTTGACGAAACTTGAAATATAGATATATATCCCAAAGATCTCGGTTCCTTTCGATATTGGCATGTATCAGAACGTAACTTCGTGGATTATGGCCCCTGATTGTACAAAAAGTCACGTTTTTGGCTTGTGGACATTCTAAGAGGTTACAATTTTTATCCGATTATGATGAAGAAACTTCCTGGATTATTGCCCCTGATTGTACGAAAAATCGCTTTTTGTTTTAGCTTGGTCTCTGTTCATCTCTTGCAAAATGTAGGCGTATCTTACATGACAGCCGCTTGTTTAACATATGAGAGATGTTTGTATGATATGATGTGGGAGGTGTCGTTTTAATGCATCACTGACAAGGGAAACCATGCTGAAACACCCTGAGGAACTTTCTAGGCCAATAACTAAATCGAACCCCGGAACTCCCGGTTAGTGAGTCAGCCCCAGGGGCTTTCACAAAGAAATAGCCAATTCTCTTAACCAAAATGTACCTGAAACTGCGGCTTAAACTCAAATCAACACTTGCATTTTTTAAACCCAAATCAAAGAGATTCAAACTCGTATAACACAAAAATACAACTTAATATTTGTTAGCTACACAAATAACAAGTGGTATCAGATATTCTAGAAGAGTAAGCAGAAAGAGTTACTATGACAGATCAGACAATAACCCTTACCGAATCACCAACGAAATAGCCATTCCTGTTAGCTTTTAAAATTGTTTCAAGATTGGTGAAAAATTTAGGAGTGTCTTCAGTGACCAATTTATTAAGAAGCTCTTTCTGAAAAAAAAATATTGACTGTTTATAATTAGATTTAAAGCATCACAATAGAAAATCATAGTGCTTAAACATGAACTCCGTTATTATCATATGCTATTATGATAGGCCTATATTGTTATTATGGGCTCCTCCTTATCGGGCCGTTTTTATTTTTTGCTTATTTCAACAATATGTGTTTCCCTTATATATTACCTTTTTAGTTTCATCTTGCTCTAAGAAAAATATTCTGATCAGAATTGGAATTAAATCACCAATGACACCAACAATCACGTCTACTTTTAATGCATCAGTATTTCCATTGCCATAAAATCCTGAAAATAGAATAAACTCTAAGCCATCCTAATTCCCTGCTAAAATGAGCTGTAGGCACAACGGGGGCCGAATTTATAGTCCGCAGTCGCACAGCGTGCTAGTGTATCTTGTTTCAAGTGTACAACGGGTATTTAATAATATATAAACATTGTATTATACGGTCCATGATATAATATATTCAAAACCTTAAGTGCCCCCATGGAATAATTATAGGGTCATGAGTATGGGGCCATTTTGGGGCCCACTGATGAGTTTGGCTTAGGGCCCACAAGTAGGTAAATCACACAATAAACGCCACCAGTTTAAATGTAGTTGACTAGCTACAGGTTATGACGGGGGATTTGAGTCAAAAGTCAGTGCTATGTTGTTAGTGCTATTACATGTCCAATGTTGCAAATGTTGAATGTAATGTGTAAATTTGACTAAGTCAAAAGTAAAAAATCCTGTAATACTGACAAATACATCGTGTAAAATGACATCTACTTTTTGTCATTAAACATTTCACAATAAGCCGAAGTCCATCTACCCACAACTTTAAACACTGAACTCTGACATCTTCTCATTTGACACTCGCCCTATGTATTGTACCCTTCGACATATATCTTGTGTATCGTAACACAGAACAAGTAATGAAATTAGCCAGTATGCAAATTAGTTCACACGGTACCTATGCTGTCTCTTTTTGGTGCTGTCATCTTTTGCATTATAATGCTATCCTGTTTATAAATTATATAATACCCATCCATGGGCCATTGTTCATTCTTCTCCTTTTATTTGTTGGGCTATTATATTTTGTATTGTATATACTTCTCATGAAGGGAAGGATGGTTGTTGTGGCAACTTTCTATGTCCACATTGCTCATGGACTGTCGCACACGTTCACACAAAACCCTGGCGACTTCAGAGTAAAATTCTTCGTGTTATATGTGGAAGCCGAGATATTTTACATTTCTTTCTTTATGTAGAAAAAAAATCATGAAATCAACACCCGGTTGCAGGTCTCATGCCGGGGGAAATTCCCTGCTGCAAAATTATGTTTTCTTCACGCGAGATGTCACGTGATTAAAAATAGGTACCGTCTGATATTATTTTCATACTGGCTAATTTCATGTCGTGAGTTCTGTGTTACGATGTAAAAGTGAAATGTTGAACGGTACGATACATAGTGCGCGTGTCATATGAGAAGATGTGAGAGTTCAATGTTTAAAGATCTGGGTAGATGGAGTTAGGCGTGTTGTGGAAATTTTGAAATGTCTAATGTGAAATGTTTAATGACAAAACGTAGATGTCAATTTACACGATGTATTTGTCAGTATTACAATATTTTGTTAAATTTAACGTCCTCCAATTTACACATTACATTCAACATTTGCAACATTGTAGATGTAAAAGCACTAACAACATATGGGGCGCCGTTTGTAAAATAATTATTTAATTTTGTTTATAGCAAAAAACATTAGATTTAACTCCGAATATATATATTTAGATAAATATTAGAACAAAAATGGCATATATGTAAATATCAAAAAATATTGTAGCTAAAAGTCGAGTTTTTGGTCTATGAAAAACTTTAAATGTTATATCTTGATTTCACATCGCTTAGTTAAATATATAGCTAAAGGTGCTGTTTTTCGTAGGTATAAATGCTAAATACTAAATCACTGAAAAATCTAAAGTTAAATATTTAGCTAAATATATAAACATTTAGCTAAATATATAAATATTAATTTAGCTAAATATATAAATATTAATTTAGCTAAATATATAAATATTAATTTAGCTAAATATATAAACATTTAGCTAAATATATAAACATTTAGCTAAATATATAAACATTTAGCTAAATAAATAAACATTTAGCTAAATATATAAACATTTAGCTAAATATATATATTTAGTTAAATATATAAACGTTTAACTAAATATATAAACATTTAACTAAATATATAAACATTTAACTAAATATATTTATATAATATATAAACAGTTAACTCAATATATAAATATCATGCTAAATATATATGTTTAGCTAAATGTATAAATATTTAACTAAATATATATTTGTGGTCCCGCCAATATTTCTATTATCGTAAGCGACACAAAAAACTGCGCATAAAATGATGACGTGTACCCGACACGTGAGCCTTGGCACAATCGGCCTACTAGCAATTAGAAATGGAAGCTGACCACGAACAATAATTATTTTACAAACGGCGCGGTACGGTTGCTCTTTGTAAATTTAACTATATGTTTAGCTAAATATATAATTATTTAGCTAAATATATAATTATTTAGTTAAATATATAAATATTTTGCTAAATATATATTATTTAGCTAAATATATATTATTTAGCTAAATATATATTATTTAGCTAAATGTTTAACTAAATATATATTTAACTAAATATACACGTGAGCCTTGGCACAATCGGCCTACTAGCAATTAGAAATGAAAGCTGACCACGAACAATAATTATTTTACAAACGGCGCGGTACGGTTGCTCTTTGTAAATTTAACTATATGTTTAGCTAAATATATAATTATTTAGTTAAATATATAATTATTTAGTTAAATATATAAATATTTTGCTAAATATACATTATTTAGCTAAATATACATTATTTAGCTAAATATATAAATGTTTTACTAAATATATAAATGTTTAACTAAATATTTTAACATTTAACTAAATATATATTTAGCTAAATGTTTAAACATTTAACTAAATATTTAGCTAAATATTTATATATCATCAAATCTCTTGTTTTGGTCTTAATATTCAATGCTAAATGTTAAATATGAAAATAGAGACAAATCAAGAAATATTTATATATATTATGTTCAATATTGAGTTTTTGTTGTATTTTTAGTTTAAATATTAAAAGTGAAAAATTTGCACAAAAGTCAAGATTTAACTATATATATAAATTTAAATTAAATCTAGTGTTTTTTGCTATATAAAAAGCTAAATAATTAATTTACAAACGGCGCCCCATAACAACATAGCACTGACTTTTGACTCAAATCCCCCGTCATAACAGGTGTCACACTATATTCTATAAAAAGCATCGCAGTTTAGATACAGTCAGGAGCCGCGGTTGTTCAGTGAATAAGGCACTGGCTCACTAGCCAGGGGGTCCGGGATTCGATCCCGGTGTTCCTAGATTACACGTCAGTTGTGCAGGGCGGAGAGCCCAGAAAATCGTCTAGTCATGCGGGTGTGACAAAAAAACGAGGTCCAGTGTACACGTTGGTGTGCACGTAAAAGAAACCCTGGCAGTTTGAATTCAATTACTGACCGGGAAAAATATCCCTTCTAGCACACAGAATATGACGCATATGCCCCGTCTTCATTATCCCGGTTTGTGCAGAACTGCAAGATGTTAAACCCCATTTCATTCATTCAACCAGGTGTTGTTGACTTGCCGACCACCGGTCTTAATCAAAAAGGTTTAGATATTTCAGATAATCTTTCTTAAATCTGACAAGTCTATAATATATCCTTATTATTTCAAGAGAATAAAAATTATACCAACCCAATTCTTTTGCCAGATAACTGTTTATAGCATTGGATTGTGCATAGAGAGTTCCATCAATTTCTAAACATGGTAACTGTCCCAATGGTGTTTCTATAAAGAAAAAAGGACACTTACATGTTTTGATTAATCGCCAAATTCCATTTGGAAATAATGTTGGATTAGTATAATTTTATGTTAGATGTGGCGAGAAATGACTCTTCTTTTTGTCGATCAAAGAAGAATTACGGTTAAAAATAGAAGGTAAGGACTCACGATGGCCATAGAAGTAGAACAGAGGTGGATAGAACATTATTTCACAAGACGTATATATAATTAAATTTTCGTGAACAATAAAATGGCGGTGGGCTTATTGCATAGATAAACTCCCGCCTTGGATTCAACTGGATTTTAAAATAGGTCTATTAATTATGTTCATCCACAGCAAAATGAGCGCGGGGCTTATTACATAACGAGCAGCATATAGCCATAGGTCGATGAAATTTCAATTTCACATACCTGTGTAAATAACGGAATTAAACCATTAATGGACTGGTATTCCTATCACTGATCAGAGATGCATCTTTCAAAATATTGTAGGCCTATTCGCAAGTGATTCCTACTGCTTAAAAGGGCGTATCGGAACTTTAATAGGTACGGTAAGAGGACTTCGTGGATTTTGAAAGGAACTAGTCCTAAGGCTCTTAAGCACGTTCAATTCGGATTGCCTACTTCGGTTTGTTATGCTTCTGTTAGTGTTATACTTACTTGGCTTAAATGCCTGCCATCCTTCTTGGTTGTACTTGACGTCATCAAATTGCTGACCTGCAGCATGAAATAACAGTCTTGCTACTTCGCCCCTGCCTCTAGAGTGAAAGTAATGTAGTCGGTAAACATGCATTATAGTATTTATGTTCTTCTTCAACAAACTAAAACTAGATCAATTCGGTCTATACCATACCGGTGAGAATGAAATCACCCATGCGTGCATGCGGTTGAACGGTGAAACCGGTTTTCTGTGCAATACGGTGTATCAGGGATACGACATTCTAAAAGCCCATCGATATTACAATGCGTTTTGTACGTATATACAGACAACATTACTCTTCTCTGGGTTTAATAGTATCAATTGTTTTTTTTTTATTTCATTAATTTTGTGGGTTGCTTGTTCCAATTTCGATATGCTCTGAAAGTTAAAGCGTGGGCGTCACCGAATAACTATTATGCCGCATTACCCTCTATCTGGCCTGAAACCCCAGAATTAGGGGAGTCGATCGCCCAGTAACGGAATGCACGTTATATCAACCGCTAAATGGACTTTTTATTTCGCTGGTTACAGACAAGCTTTCCAAATATATTTGCATATTTAAAAAAAGGAGACTGGAAATGGCTCTTTTGATCAACGTTTACGAATGTGATAATCGAAATGCCATGTTTAGATCTGGTCCCGAGTTCACAAAGTATTCTCAAACTTAAGAATTTACTAACCAGCGACTGCCAGGCAAGATACGCCCACATTTTGCAAGAAATGGATAGAGAATAAGCTAAACAAAAAGCGATTTTTCGTACAATTAATTGTCATAATTCAGGAAGTTACGATCCGATATGTGCAAATGTCGACATGAACCAAGAGCTTTGGGTTATAAAGATATATATAGTTCAAGTTTTTCATCAAAATCGGATCAAAATTGTGACTTCTAGGGGGTCCACAGCCTGGATATACCATATATAAATTTACACTATTTGCGTACGAGGGGCAGCCATTTTGTTCGGCAGTTTTGGCCCCATTTTCACGAATAATATTTCAATCGGATAAATATTGTGACCTCTAGGGGGACCACAAGCTAAAAACGAGATTTTCGTACAATCAGGGGCCATAATTCAGGAAGTTGCGATCCGATATGCGCAATATCAAAAGAAACCAGGATCTTTGGGTTATAAACATGCATTTCAAGTTTCATCAAAATCAAATGAAAATTGTGACCTCTAGAGTGTCCACAAGCTAAAAACGTAATTTTTCGTACAATCAATGAAGGTATGGTCTAATATATGCCAATATCGAGAGGAACCGAGATCTTTGGGAGATAGACCTATATCTTAAGTTACGTCCACATGAAAATTCTGGGCGTCTAAAAATTGTTTGCCTTATTTTAACAAAAATATACTATTAAAAAAAAGTAGGGGATATTTGATTTTTAAGTGTTATTAAAGTCACCTAATGAAACTGACGAAGAAACAAATGACAAAATGAAATGAAGTTCACATTCATCGATTTATTCCAAATGATCGTTAGACTAAGTAAGGCACATACTGACCATTATAAGGGTAAAATGATACCCGGGGTCAAACAGCAAAGTTACCACAGCATCACAGCCAAGTCAGTAACGGGTAAATCCTCCTCTGTTTGCCAAACAAGCATTGATCCGACGTGGCATACTCCTAATGAGACGTCTAAGGTCATTTTGGTCCAGATTGTCCCATTCCTGTTGCAACGCAGCAGCAAGTTCTTGGACATTGGCAGGACGTTGTTGACGTTGACGTAACCTCTGGCCAAGCATGTCCCAGACATGCTCGATGGGGGAGAGGTCGGGACTCAGTGCTGGCCAAGGTAATGTGGTGATGTTCTGTTGTTGGGGGTAACCTGTAACGATCCTGGCCCTGTGACATCTTGCGTTGTCATCCTGGAAGATGAAACGGCGGCCATGACGTCGTGCGAACGGCACAACATGGACTGCCAAGATGTTGTCCCGGTAGTACTGGCCTGTAACACGCCCTGCAACAACATGTAAAGCCGTTCTTCCAGCAACAGTGATGCCTCCCCACACCATAACAGAACCACCCCCAAATCGATCATGTCTGATGACGTTAATGTCTTGGAAGCGCTCGTTTCGACGACGCCACACCCTCAGGACTACGTCTGTCCAAAAAATCAACAGTGAACCTTGACTCATCTGAAAACATCACATTGCTCCAGCGTCGATTATCCCAGTGTTGACGATCCCTACACCAACGACGTCTTGCCTGAATGTGATGATCTCTCAAACAAGGGATCACGCGAGGACGTCGGGCGCGAAGGTGACCCCTATGCAGTCGATTCCGAATCGTCTGGCCACTCACTCTCACACCAGTGTCTGTTTGAAGACGAGCGCTGATCTGATTTGCTGTGATGACACGATTTCTCAAGGCCAAGGTACGGATAAATCGATCCTGGGCTTGAGTTGTCGCCCTTGGTCGACCTGAGCGTGGTCTGTCCTGTACAGATTGTGTATCACGGTATCTGGACCATAGCCTGCTTATGACAGACTGAGAAACATTCATCGTCCGCGCCACAACCGCCTGTGTTGTGCCGATCTGTAGCATGTTTCCACCCTGGAATTCAATGCCACAATGACTGTAACATTCAAAGTCAGAGTCGTGCAAATCTTGGGTTGGACCCCCATGATGATCCCAAGCATCACCTGCATTCCATGCGGTAGCTATTGGTGCGTTTGGGCGTCACATGTAACTGGAAATGTTTCTTCTGTTAGGTTCTATAGTGACTTTTTTCGTAGTCATTTGCATATTTTAGTATTATGCCCCCAAAATCAAATATCCCCTACTTTTTTTGAATAGTATATAACTCTTTATAAAACATTTGTTCTTTTAATGTATCAAATACATCAATAAGAAACCATGTGCAAAGTTTTGTGTTACTGGATCAAAAATATTTTCCATAAACAGTGATTGAAAGTTGAGTAAATTCTTAACTTAAAACTGAGAATACTTTGTGAACTCAGGGCCTGAAGAAACTGTCTGGATTTTCAACTTGGGAATTTCCATGCTAAATAGTCGTAGTCAAGACCATTGGCAACAGTACCATCACAGTTATCTCCCTGCTTTTTGTCCCAGCACTTAATTTATGCAATTCTGTGTTTAATACCCAACTCACATGTTAGTGAGAGAGAGAGAGAAATGGGGTTTAATGTCCACTCGACACAAACTAGGTCATTTCGGGACTTACATATGGTTTAATTTTATTTACATAATTCGCTTGCGCGTAGGGGTCTTTAGCAGTGGGAGGAAACCGGAGGACCCGCAGAAAACCCACGAGGTTGGACAGGCAACCCTACTCCTTGCCACGTACAACCGGGGATTCGAAACCACGCCAGTCGACTCAATGACAGACTTTATGATACAGCGCACACACGCTAACCATTCAGCCATCCAACCCCCCAAACAACATATTAGTTCCAAATTCATATTCCAGAGCGGACACACCTGGGGCTAGAGAGAGCGAGGGGGTGGGGTGTTCTTTAGCAGTGGGAGGAAACCAGAGGAAACCCATGAGGTTCGACAGACGATCCTACTCCTTGTCACGTACAACCAGGGAATCGAAACCACGCCAGTCGACTCATTGACAGACCATATGATACAATGCACACATGCTAACCATTCGGCCATCCACCCCCACCCCCCTAACTGGGGCTAGAAGAATTTAACTTTTGCTGTCACAACAACAGTTACTTAATGAATAGGTTCATTTTCAGCTCTTTCAGAGTCTGTGAGTAAAAAGAATCGATTATCTGACTAGTCTAACGATACTCACAACAAATCGCCATTTAAATTTGTGACAGAATCTAAATCATATCTCTATAACCCTCTTCACTGGCGGATAAAACATTACATTTCACAAAAATGTCTGCCTTATATCCACATATCAAAAAGCAAGGCCGAACACCTTCAAATTTAGATTACTGTATTTATCAACTTTTAAGGTATCTAGTAATGTTTTTCCCTTTGGTTATATGGCATACAGAACTGGGAGATTAAAATAATGAAATCTTGACTCAACAATGATATAGAGAGATAAAAATTCTGACCATCAGTGACCCAACCCCAATCTACCAATTTCATTTAACCTACCAGTAAAAGGCCATCTAAGAATTTTACAATGAAACATTAGTTTTTTTAAGGGACTTCAATGAATAACTGCTGTTTAAAATGATTATGTGGACTTGATAAAAGTAAATAACTAACGGTCCAAATTTTGATCAATTATATATTATATAGAGTAAAGATTTCCTTTATAAAATTGAACAAAAGCCTTATATTGTGTGTATCTTAACAGTGTTTCTTTTTTTTTCAATTCTGAAGTATGAACATTACTGAACAATGATATAATAATATGTATGAATTTAAAACTGAACTGACAACACTGATAAAAATAATGAAATCTAAGAAATCTAAAAGATATTAAATAATGAATATGAGGAAACCATAATGTACAACTTAACATGAAGTAGATGCAACAATGAAAAAAAAAATTATTAGATATTAACAGTTTAAAAGTCGTTCGCATATCAAGCAAAATATTCTATTGTCCAATAAATAAAAAATATGTAACTATATATCATACACTTTTATACGAACTGATCAAGAAAAAAAAAGGTCATGTTGATATTCACACTGATTATTATATATGTATTTTAACAGCATTAATAAAAGTAATAATATTATTAACACAATATATATAACAGTTTTTGTAACACCTGATTTGCGTTATTTATGTCTATAGTTTTATCTACATTGTAAAGTCTGGGTCATCATCATCATCACTTTCATCATCACTACAATACTTCTTCCTCTTTTTCTTCTTCTTCTTAGATGTTGGAGTTTTGCTAATGGAATCTTTACTTGATCGATGGTGGTGGGATTTTGTGCTTGACGTAATAAGGCGGCTCTTCTTGCGCTCACTATGCGGAGTTCTCGATTTCGATATACTCAGTGTTAATGGTGGGGGATGATGCTCTTTTGGTGGAGTCGTTGTTACAACTTGATCAGATGAACTTGCCCCGGTTTCTTCTCCTTCCACAACTACAGCATTTCCTTCTTTACCCTCGTCCGTGGCAAGAAGTTTTGAGCCGGATGAACTGTGTGGTGGTGTCCCTCTTCCAGACCCCTCATCACCACTGTCATCTTCATCTGATGGATCAATACTCATCATCAAATCTTTAAACTCGAGGTAATCTTCTACAAGTTTTGTTTTGGCTTCCTCTGCATCCAAGTCCATCTTTTTTTGAGTCAAGCATTCAATGGTGTAATGTGGGTTAAACTTCAGGTTATTTTTCTTTGAGAGTGGCTTTTCATGAACCTTTGCTTGTTCACTTGGTGAGTATCGATGTATCTTGCTGTCTGTAAAACCATACATATCTTTCAGGTGTTGTTTGAGTACAAGCAATAACACACAGCCTCTTGAGAGATCTAATATTTCTTCAAGAGGTTGGATGTTTTCAGGGAAACGAGCCATTAGGGCTTCGCGATCGTCATCATCATCATCATACCTAGTTTCAGCACCTGGTTTTGGTAATAAAGCTTCTTTAAATGACTGGAGGAGATTGGAACCAGTGACTGACACTATAATATCTATTTGATGGATGATAAATAATGGTTCATCTTGGAATTGGTATGGGTAATAAGCTAGATTATCTGCTGTATATAGCTGTTCTGCTAATGATATTCTAGCCGAATCATCAAACAGGTTTAAGATGGTTGTCAAGAAACCTCTACGGTGTTGTCTGTTACCCCTGATGACTTTGTAGACATGCGAGTTAAGACCAGTTGGAATATCATCTTTTACAATTCTCATACCACGGATTGGACCATCCTTGTTGTTTGTCAGGACTTGCTGTAGTTTGTAGGAAAATTTCAGACCTTGTTGAGCTTTCATATGGGTGAATCCGGGGTATTTTTTCTCAATTTCCAACATTTGTTGATCAGCTTTTATTCTTACCGCAGCTTCCGTATCGGTTCCCATACAAATTAAATAGGGTACACACTGCACTGGATGAACAAGTCCTTGTTTTAAAATCAGTTTAATAACACCAAGTGCAGTCAGACGAACCGAAGAATTTTCGTGAAAGAATGATTCTAACACTTGTTTTAAATAAACCTGCATGATAGCACTTGCCATTCCAGACTGGATATCACCCATTTCCTTCAGATCTTCATTCTTTGACTGTTTTTTCCATTGTTGATCGGCCAGCAACATACGGTTTTCTTCTTCCACCAAATAACTTTGTAGATTTCTCAAAACCTGACATCTTAATTTAGTTGGAGCATTATTATCAGTTAAAAACATATTGTACATGTCTTTCACGGTTGGCCCTAACATGTAATCATAATGCCTGATAAGGAAAAAGCCAAGAGCATTTAAAGCCTTAAGTCTTACATCTTCGTCTTCATGGCACATAAAATATGTAAGAACATCAAAAACTTTTTCTCGCACACACACTTTTGTTTCCCCCATTTCTTTAGCGTCAAAGTCAAAATGTTTGCATAACAACCCAACAGTAAATAATGATCGTAACATAGTAGGTCGTCTACTTTTTAATGTGGGATTATCAGGATCTTCGCGATGATCAGTCATTAATTTGGAAAGCACACTGAAGAATTTCTGAAAACAGTCTTTAACAAGAGCAAAATTATAGCTAACCATATTTACAACAGCACCTAAACAACTAACACAACTTTGTAGAACCATCATGCCATGTTTTAATACAAGTTTCATCATGTCCTCTTCTAATTGGGCAAGAAAAGATTCACTTGGATGGTTCATAAGAGGAACAACTAGTTCTAATATACGTGCTACATAATGAAGCACTAAATAATCTTCCTGTGTGCTACATTTAATATCCAGATAGGGTTGAAGGGTTGTAGCATGATTTACCATAAGATCTGGTTTGATTTTACTGAAGAGAAACAGTGTAGAGAGACAGGCACATAAACGAGTTTTGGTACTTTTTGAAGCAGATGTCTCGGCTGTTCCTTCTTCTAGTTTTAAGACATTGTCAACAAGACAATCGACAATTTGACGACAAGCAGTCAGAGCAGATTTATTATAGTTGCCATCTTCGTCTTTTTTCAATAGATTTTCTAACATTTGTTCAAAGAAATCATAACCAATTTCTTTTGAAGCTGCAACAACGTCAGTAATGTTCATCACTTTTAACAAAAGTTTTCCAGAGTCTTTTTCTCGCGTACTTATGGGCGAAAACCACATTGTCTGAAACACTTCGTTAATCAGTTTTTTGATACCTTCTTCATCATTAACTCTCTGAATCATTTTAACACACATTTCAGGAATTTTGGGAAATTCAGATTCTTCTATGCAAATGTCTTTAAATATACGTATGACACGTTTACGCACGCTGATACCGGTATCAAGTATACGTTCGGACAGCATTTCGTAATATTGTGGGATTAGTTCTGGACGTATTAAAATAAACTTTCCAACTAACTCGACAGCTGCTTCACGCACAGATGTTGACTGATCTAAAAATCGACCATGAACGCCGCGTTGCATATCGTCTCTTGCTAATATGCTAGGATCTGCCTCGATAACAGCAGTAAGACATTTCATTGCCTTTGTTCTAACAGCAACGGCAGTTTCACACAACACTTTCAATATTTGAGTCAAATAAATGTCAAAACTTTGTGCAAATGGTCGTTTAGAAGACAGATACCTTGCTACTAAACATGCACTTTCATAATCTAATTTACTTGGTGTAGGTTTATATGAAGGTGCCATTGTGATGCCAGCTTGTGCGAATAGGAATTCTTTTCGTTTCTCGATGTCTTGCATTTGCTCGGTCACTCTATCCCCTTCAGATTGGTCACTGTCTGGGTCTTGAGCAGAGGACTTCATATTTTTCTCAGCTTTGACGTTTGTATCTCTGAACCATTGAGCAATATAAAACTGTCGCGCAAACATAAGGGAGGGTTCCTTTTCACCATTAAATGCTAAATATGTTAACATGGCCTCTTGTAAATTTTGTGTTACATCAGAGGTTCTTTCCCCTGTCTTGTTCTTCTCTTCGTCATTATCATCATCTTCATCATCATTACCATTAACCTTTTCCACTATTTCTTGGATAATGTCGGGATTCATTCTACTGGAAACAGCATCTTTTCTCAGCCGAGCTGCAACAATACCAAGGTATTCAAGGGAGGCAACTCGTAAAGACATGTCAGTGGATTTATTGCTAAATTGTTTTACTAATATTCCACCCAATAAACTGAGCAGTAGTTCTGAAGCAGGCCACTCTGGTTTGTTGACTGTTGATAGAAGATCTTGCACAAAATTTTCAAATAATGGTCTGTAATCTTCTTCATTTTTAGTTGTACATTTCTTCAGAAAAACAGACAGGAAATTGTAGCCTGTTCGCATTGCCGTTTCATAACTACTGATGACAAGGACTTCATTGTCGGTTTGTGCTCCCCCTTTCTTTTTTGGCCGTTCTTCAGATGGTTCTTTGGGCGTGCCATCAGATTCTAGCTGAGGTAGTTTTATAACACATTGTATTAACTGAAGAGCAAGAGCAGTTACCATTTGAATAGACTCTTCTGAATTCAACCGATAAATTCGTATATTTCTCTTACTGGAAGGAAGTCGTGCTAAACTGGCAAAAATATCTTCAAGAATAAGTTGTCGGTGTTGATCATATCTAGAAAATATGGTTGTGACTAATTTAATAGCATTTAACTGAAGTTCACTCACATTTTCTACAAAAAAAGGAGAAACACCAAGCGAGGATGCTTGAAGTATCACAGTGTCAGTCAATTCTTGTATTTCTATCAGTTCGCCAAGACAACCAACCATTTCAGATATTTTGTTGAAAAGCGCAATGGTTGATTTATGTTTCACAGATCCTGCCCGCGCTCTTTTCAATTTTATGCTACCGTGATATCCATCTTTTGAATTGGCATCTGTTTTATATACTGGATCAAATTCTGGGTAAATTGTATTATGTAACTGGAATTTACCGAAAAATAAAATCCGTTCAATAACATCTTCCAGATACACTTGTTTTGGCATATTAGGAGAAGTCATTATGAACAGGGCAGTTAATGTGGCATCCATACTTCGCATTATTCTCTCCATTGTAAGTTGGCGCCATAATTTTTGTTCGTCTTCATCTGCATCATCCTGGCTAACATTTGGGGTGACACTGCTACCGTCGCGTATATTCCACTGAAGAATTGTTAGCAATTTAACAAGTCTTTCTGGAGGCATTTGATTCATTGCACCCATTGACCGTAACTTTGCTGCCTCACCACATAAGTCTGTTAATATACCCTTTGCAATTAATGATTCTGGAGGGCATTCTGCCTGATCATCATTTGGATCAATGGCAGTAAAGTTTACCTCTTCAACACTATCAAATATATAGTCCACACAACTATTAAATTTTTTAAATGTGGGACTTTCCATGAGTTCTTCAAGCGATAAATGGGCTTGGACAGTTCTTTTATGTTTCTTTTCTGTTTTCCGTTTTTTAGATGTTTGTTGTTGCTCTTCTTCATCGTCATTCCAAGATTCGTCACTATCACTATCTTCTGCATACTTTTTTCTTGAAGTGTTCATATTATAGCGTATTCCCTCAGTAATACGTTTTCTTTTACGCGAAGCGTCGGTTTTAACTGACCCTGCAGATTTTATTTGTTGTATTGTCTTTGGGTCTAATAATTGTAGCACAACAACTGGTTCTGACTTTTGTTTTTTAGCAGATGAGGCCTCAGGCTCTTCTCTAGTTTGATGTGAATTGCTACGACATGATCTATTACTACGCACTAAATCATCCGAAAAACTAGATGGAACTGATGAAGATGGCTGTCGTATGTTTTGTTGGCTTGATAACCTTTCTGCTGATGTGGCTTGCGCTGGGGATGCAACTGCTGCCTTTTGCTGTTCGGTATTATCATTTTGTTGTTGAGAATTAATAAGGGCAGCATCTGGGAAGCCATTCACAACTGATATATTCCGATTTATCTGATTTTGAGTATGTGAGTTAATTTCTTGAGGAAGATGACCAGTACTTTGTGACTGGTAAGGGCTGTTGTATGGTTGATATGAACTGTTGTTTTGATTTTGATGTCGACTGGACGGTTGATTTGCTTGATGACCCATCTGGTGATGGTTTCCATTGAAGCCCATGGCCTCTGCTGATGGGTAGTTTGGTTGTTGAGGAGTGAAGTTTGCATGCCGTGAATTATACTGTGAGGAGCCAGGTCTATTTCCATTGAAAACCTGCGGATCACAGGTTAAAATTGTTTTCAATAGTTGTGGCATGTCATCTCCCATGGAAGTGTTTGAAAAACCATCTTTTAATTCTATGTGATCTGTAGATGTCTGCCTGATGGCTGCCACTAACTGCTGTGCTAAAGCTGGGTCCCTAGAATGAAGACGATTTTGGGCATCATCGGCAATCAGCGGGTTGTATAATAAACTTTTCTTGTGCATATTTTGAAGCAAAGGTGATGGCAAGGGCAGTTCTGGCAACATATCAGTTAAACTTGCCACCCCCGCGAGGGTAGTTATCGGTACACTTGGTATTTCCCCGTTCATCATCATTTCATAGAGATATCACTTCATCAAAATTCCTGCTACATGGATGAAAAGTCCCGTTATTATTCATGAAAATAGTTCACAAACAGCAATCATTGATAAGTTCACAAATTTCACCAAAAGTGTACAGACCATAATACTCAACTCAATTTCCCGTCAATTTTATAACCTTCCTTGCGGTTGGTCGTTTGCGATGATAGTTAACCAATCACAGAAGTCCTTACGTTAGACTAAGGTATATGTTTACAAACGAAGCGCGGTTTGCCATATTGACACTTAGGGAACTGTCAAATTTACTGCTTTTTGAACATGCTTCATTAAAATTACGTGATTTTAATCAATTTTCAGATATCCACTATTCGTACCATGTTACATAATAAGTACATTTTGGCCAAACAATCGCTAAAAAAACGTTTTCTAAAAGATGAAGAGACAAAGACTGTCCACGGACGATAAACAATAGCCATGATTGTCAAGTCTCTTCAAACTGAGAAAATAAATAGTTATTATCGGCCAACGCAGGTCGATATATTTTATAGAAATTTGTCTAATTATTGTAGATATTAATTTCAAATTATAATTTAATATAATCTAACTTGGCAATCTGCTAGGTATACCGCAATATTCTTTTATTAGCTTGTGTGTAACGAGATTTTTGTTGACACTTGCCCCTGACGTTTATATTAACTGGGCCAAGCCGAATGACTGGTCATTCGCTGCATATAATTTGTAGACTACATCATCCAGCATAGCGTTGATTCACCAGACTCGAAGCATAGACTAACTGACACGCTTTATCAGCAAAGATTTATTTTACACTTTTCACTGGGCTGGGAGAGGGGGCGAACTGCTAAGACATGATATAAGATCAACCTATTATATTTAACCTAAGTTGTGAGATGATGGACCTAAATCTAGTAAATGGGTATATAATATAAATGGAAAGGTCGGAAAAAATACCCCCCCCCCCCCCATTTGGCGTAAAAGAAGGGTGTATTCCAAGTCCTAAATTAACGATATACAATTAACGGACAAATTGTAGATGACCTGCGGGTTTCTCGCCTTCTTTTTGCTGATAATTTGATTTTAATATCCACATTATCCAGTAAATAGTTTCAATATTTTAAATCAATATTGTGCTGAAAATTAAATCTAGACCCCGAAAAATTCAAACCATGATTTTTACAAACAACTGATAACCTGAACCCCAAATCCATTTCTATTTTGGGCATGATTTGTTAAATTCCACTAATTCATACCTTATCATCTGGAAGTATTTATCAATAACAATGCCACCTTTAAAATTACAGGAACAGATCTGCGGGAAAAGACACCACGTGCCTGGTTTTCATTGTGTCATAAGCTGTTCACCGAAGGTGCCTTACCGACATAAATATATAAATGATAGAACTCTGTGGTAAAACAAATCATAAATGCTTATGATATCTGGGGAATGGAAATCTATAACCCACAGTAAATAATTGAATTATTCAAAAATGGAATATATATATTTGATAAAAACAAAATCACTAACAAAATATGTAAATCAATACTGTCCCAACCTATGAAAATTACTAATATAATATATATGATGCGTATAATCAGAACTTGGTATATTTCCAAAGCACATGGACATCTTTAAAATAATGATATATTATATACATGTATAGATAAACTATATAGGCCTACTTTTGGAGCCCAAAACTGTTCAACCAGCGCTCTTTTGGGGTTCAAACCTCAAGCCCCTGTTTATGGAATATTCTACCATTTAGTTTTAGATGTTGCACATCTCTATATTCTTTTAAAAAACAATATAAACACATTTATTTAAACAAGCTTTTAACTGTATCTGTTAACATGTCCATAATCGTCTTGTTTGTTTATGAGTGCTTTGTAAAGTGCCCCTGATATGAAAGACTTCCAATCAATAGAAACAGGTAACACAAACCAATTACAGACGGTTTGATAGGGTCAATTTTGACTAAGTCAAAATGATGCATTTGATATTCAGATAAGTTGATATACAATAATTAATAGAATACAATATCAAAAAAAACATCCCTTTATCCAACGTTTCGTCAGTAAAAATATAAACTCCTTCAGGGATTAAGAACTAAATACAAAATGACTGGAAGTCAGTTATAACATCATAGGAAGTTATGACATTATGGAGCTAGATACATAACATGAAAGGTTAGCTTATAATAATAAAGGTAAAATTTTACAAGTAAGGAAAATTATGCATGATTATGATTGATTTTGAAACCTCCTGGATTTAACACATTTAAACCGTTAGGCCAAACTGAATCAAGTCTATGAATCCACAGACTTTCTGCTGTGTTCAATTTTTATACACCCACATTTTCATGTGGACGTATATTGTCGTCGCCCCTGTCCGTCCGGACGTCCGTCCACAATTTGTTTGTGGACACTCTATATATAGAGGTCACAATTTTTATTCAATTTTGACGATTTATCTCCCAAAGATCCCGGTTCCTTTCGATATTGGCATACATCTGACCATAACTTCATGAATTATGGCCCCTGATTGTACGAAAAATCACGTTTTTAGCTTTTGTACACTCTAGAGGTCACAATTTTCATGTGATTTTGATGAAACTTGAAATGCATGTTTATAAAACAAAGATCTTGGTTCCTTTTGATATTTGCGCATATCGGATCGTAACTTCCTGATTTATGGCCCTGATTGGACGAAAAATCTTGTTTTTAGCTTGTGGTTCCTCTAGAGGTCACAATTATTATCCGATTTAAAAAATAAGTTCTTGAATATATCACCGTAACACTGTAATGACGTCTGAGTTCGAATTTCGTGAAAATCTGACCAAAATTGCCGAACAAAATGGCCGCCCCGCGTACGCAAATAGTGTAAAAATATGGTATAACAATGTTGTGGACCCGCAAGAGGTCATAATTTAGAACCGATTTTGATGAAATTTGAAATACTTGTTTATAACACAAAGATCTTGGTCCCTTTCAACATTCGCGCATATCGGATCGTAACTTCCTGAATTATAGCCCTTGATTGTACGAAAAATCACGTTTTTAGCTTGTGGTTACTCTAGAGGTAACAATTTGTATCCGGTATATAACAAATCGTTTGAATATATCACCGTTACATCCCAATGATGGCTGTGTTCTAATTTCGTGAAAATCGGACCAAACTTGCCGGACAAAATGGCCGCCCCTTGTACGCAAATAGTGTAAATATATGGTATATCAAGGTTGATGAAACTTGAAATATATCTTTATAACCCAAAGATCTTGTTTCCTGTCGATATTCGCGCATATCGAATCGTAACTTCCTGAATTATTGCCCTTAATTGTACGAAAAATGTTTAGCATTGAATCAAAATTTAACAATTACGGCAGGGCAAACATAGAACTAATGGATTAATTAAACACAGAGGAATCACTTAACCACTAAAATATCTAAAATGGATTCAGCTACCTCGAAAACGTATATTTTGACACCAAACTTTTGTCTTATGTAAGATTCGAATTTTCCCGCCAAAACTGACCGCCATCTTGAGTAACCCCCAATATTGACTCGGCGGTAACACTTAGCACAAAAGTGTATATGGAAATGGATTCAGTTACCCCGAAAACGTATATTTTGATAAATGGCGATCATTTTTGATTTTTTTTTTAATTTGACTCATTTGGGCACGGATTTCGGACTGGGACTTTTTTTGTGATAATGTAGTTTTCGACCGACCATAAACCGTGGTCGGCATTTCTATTGCAGCAAGTGCCCGCATTTACACGGGAAACTGGGATCCGAGAGAAGATGTAGGTCAATTCAAGTCCCGGGTTAAGAGAGAGAGAGAGAAAAATGGGGTTTAACGTCCACTCGACACACGAGGTTGGACAGGCGACCCTACTCCTTGCCACGTACAACCGGGGATTCGAAACCACGCCAGTCGGCTCAATGACAGACTTTATGATACAGCGCGCGCGAACGCTAACCATTCAGCCATCCAACACCCCCCTCCCGGGTTAAGATTGTGTTGTAGTGGCGTATAACTGGTGTTCTTTTTTATGCCTTAACCTGGGCCTCTTAATTTAACATTAGCGTTTACACCAGTATATACACTAGTATATACACTAGAAAAAAAATTAATAAAAAACACTAGTTTTATTTTAAATGCTCAACCTTTGTGTTTGTCCCCTGATTTAACACATTCAAATCTATTCTGATCACCATCATCGCAGATGCGAACGAATTGGAAGCTTGACAAGATTATTAATTGCATACAGACCCTAACCAGTAAGGTTGATGCATATTAGCCATAAGTCCTCAATAAGGTGGAGCCACGGTGGTTAATGAGTAAGTGTTGGCCGAGAAAGTTCATCCAGATTTTCCGGCGTTGTTTCCCCTTGTCAGTATAGTGCAGCACGGAGGGCATGACAAAGACAGCTGTCTAGTCGTTGGGATGGTATGAAAAACTGAGGTCCCGCGTGTAGATGGGAGTGGGAGTTGGAATTCGATAAAAGAGTTACACCAGTGCTGCACTGATCTAACTAGAGTTAAATCCCACAGCACCTTAACCCACTGGGTCAATTCAAGTCCTGGGTTAAGGTGGTGTAGTGTTTAACACCAGTTGATCAGTGTAGCACTTGTGTAACTCTTATATCGAATTCCAACTCCCACTCCCATCTACACGACGCTGCAAAATCCCGGGGAACTTTCAGTGTACATAATCATAGTATTGAGAGGAATATGGCTGATAACCCGACACCACGACAACCCGACATCACGACATTTTAACCCGACAATACGACATTTTTACGCGACATTATGACATTTTTAATGTAGTGGTGTCGGGGGGAAAATGTCATATTGTCGGGTGAAGCGCTATAGAAGATGAATAATAATAATGAAATTCTTAGACGGCATTTAGTAATTGAACATAATAATATGATATAAAACACAAATTTATATGGAAAACAATCACTGGGTTTATTTCACACTACTTGAGAACGACAAGATGAACTTGTTGAAACGTAGTGTGAAATAAACCCAGTGATTGTTTTCCATATAAATTTGTGTTTTATATAATAATAATAATAAAATGTTGATCGCTGACCTACTGATTTACGAGAAATTCCAGAAAGGAAATTTCGACTGAATAACAACTATCTAATAGATGAACTGTCTATTGAATATAATACATACAGACACAAGACATTCAACATAGACCCCAGTTACTTAACTTCCCGAAAGCGGTTAGAAGTGTTTTTAATTATAGTCAGCCATCCCTTGCATTTGGGATTGCAGGGAGTGCTTGTCATTTATGTACACACGAAATTGTTGATTTTTTGTTTGATATTTCGAACAGATTCATAAAATTCCTCAACATATTGAATTTGCCAACCTTAGAGGTCCAATCCAT